ATCATGTCCAGGTTCCTTCCACAACGGGCACTGTTTGAAGTCCGCGAGTCTCCATCAAAAATGTACAGCTGGCTGGTGTTCTTGCTACCGAATATCCTAGTGGAAATACCCTATCAAATCTGCCTCTCGGTGGTCGTATGGGCGTGCTGGTTCTTCCCGATCTTTGGACTTGACAATGACTCAACGACTCGTGCGCTAATGTGGGGATTCTGTCTGCAATTCTTGCTCTTCGGATCTACCTGGGCACAAATGCTCATTTTCACGATGCCGAGCACCGAGACGGCGGGTGCCCTGTCAACCATTCTGTTTACGCTGAATCTGCAGTTCAACGGTGTGCTCCAACCGCCATCCGCGCTCCCAGGGTTCTGGATCTTCATGTATCGCGTCAGTCCCTTCACCTACCTGATCGGTGGCTGGGCTGGAACGGGCTTGGCCAACAGAGCGGTCGTCTGCGCCAAGAATGAATTGGCGGTCTTCGATCCTCCAACCGGACAAACTTGTGGCCAATATCTCTCTGCCTACCTCGACGGTGGCGCGCCAGGATCGCTGCTCAATCCGTCCGCCACGGCAAGCTGCGAGTATTGCTCGATCAGAAACGCCAACCAATTCCTTGAACAGTCGTGGATCCACCCCTCGGACAATTATCGGAACTTGGGGATAATGTTTGCGTACATTGCCTTCAACATCTTAGCTGCGATCTCACTGTACTACATCTTTAGGGTTAGGGGATTCTCAATCAAAAGCCTACAGAAGCCCAAGACAAAGAGACATGTGGCTGAAGGGGAGAAAGAGCAGGAAGAGAAGCCTCATCTGAAGCGAGGCTTCTACGTGGGGTTTTACTATCATTTGGTGTTGAGTATTTTGAGAAATCTGGTTCGGTAGACTTTTATGTTCGGTTTGGGGTCGGGCACAGATAGGGCGAGGTTTTGGGTAGACAATAGTCTAATTGATGCGTTTTCCTTGTGCTTTGGACAGACTGTTCTCTGGTAGTGATTGGGAGAGAGGGTGAAATCCTAAACCCTGACTACCAAGAGCATGACGACCGAGAGGCATACAGATTTACAGCCACACCTGGATATTCTCCAAGCCATTTCAGAGGCCTTTTTCTGGTTCCACAAGATAAGGCATGGCAGGACCGGTTTTGCCACCATCTCTTGAGAGAAGAAAAATTGTGGTAACCCTAGACATCTCTTCGGTTGTTGTAGTAATGCATTCGTCAACATGATCACAGTTAGGCATCGACCAGGAGTGAAGGTAGATCGGAGAGGCGACAGTGTTCTACCCTGTGTCAAAACTTGGCTCGAAGTCAGCACTAATATCTTGAATGTAGCCCTGACCATTTGATCCTGTGCTCAGCAAAGATCATTGGGACGTTTGTACGTGGTTCTGTGGGAGGCGTTCTTTGGTGGCCCTGATCGGCGGTTGTAGTGCACCTCCTCGTATGCTGGCATTGACCTCGCCAAGCTAGGGTGCTAGGTTCGACCGTCAATATGAAAACAATGGCGATCGGCAACCGTGGCGCGCATCGAGGAGATTGTAAACCATGCAACATGTACGAGAAGAAGGAAGAGGGGCGTGTTTAGGGGAGTTGGCGAATGCGCGCCTGATGGGCCTGGTGAGCCTCATCTGCTGCACCCTCTGGCGGGCCTTGGACCGGCAACGACAGCAACGACAACAATCGTCATGGCGGCCTGTCCATATCCAAAGTCGATCCCTCAGTCATGGTCTTGTCGACTACGCGAAATTTTGAAGAGCTGGCCCCGGCCCCCAGCTAAATCCGTCCGCTCGAGCTGAATCCGACTTTCAGCGCCGCCATCGGGCTTAGATGCATTTTGTCTTAGGGGCTTCGTTTGGTTAGTAATTGCAGCCGTCTCACACACTTGCCATAAGCATCTTCTCACTGATTGATATTTGAGCAAGTGATCAGAGCACGTACACCACTAACGACCCGCACGGTCTAAGCTGAGGCCTTAAGAGCATTCCTACGGCCTAAGAACGGTTAAGACGACATGGCAGGTCAAGGTAACCTAAGCGTTAGCACTTTCCATGTCAGTCCAACTACCCTTTCCAGAACTCCTGTCGTTTACGGCCATCTGGTAGGGATACGATATTGTGTGCAGGTAATGGGATGTCGACGATGTATGAAGAGCACATAAGGCGAGCATTCCGTCTCTGGATGTCTGATGGAAAGATGTCAGAGCACATCGAGTTTCTCCTCCATCTTTAGCTTCCGCAGGCACAAGTTCTGGACAGTATGTTCACAGCCTATCATAACTTCACACTCACCATGTCTCTCCGTAACACAGTCAAAGACCTTCGGCGAAGTCTCCCGAGCCACACAGCTTCATCTCCTAGCTCGTCCCTCGAGACAGAAATCATCGAGCACCTCAGGGCATGTCCAGCATATGAAGCCCCGACATCCTCGCACATACAACCCATGAACTCGGACTCATCACGCAGCTTCGTCGAGTGTACACTCGACTCGGAGCTAGCATCGGGAGATGCTCCTCCACCATACATGAAGCTCTCCAACGGGAACAGAAAGCCCGAATACTCGATATCCGACCCTGCCCGAACCGCAGATGCGAAGCGATCTCGAAGCGATGGTGCATTGTGTCTCCGGTGCAATGCACGCAAGGCCAAGGCATGGTATCTCCGGCAGACGGCGTGCACAAGCCCGTAGACGGGGCGTTTTCTAAGATCATGGGAAAGGACAACGTGGTCGGAATATGTGTATCGAAGGCAACTTAAGTTCGGGGTATGAGGATGGCGTTGGGGAAGGGTCTAGGCAATCACAGTGTTGTTCATGGCGATCATGACCCCCTGATTTCCATACGGCGTCGACGCGTACTCGTAGTCACAATATGAACCTACTCAGTTCCTCAGTCGAGCTTGGGTCTTCAGGATAACGCCTGCTTGTCCTCATTCCCCTAGGTGTAGCAGCAGTAGTCCACCCTGGAAGGGCAATTGTTGTAGCATCCGCACATCCGATGTCAAACCATGGCACAGTACCGAGTTCTCGCTACGCTGGTGCACAGAAACACATTTCGCGCCATCGTGTCACAGTTTGGGCTCGGGTGCGCGGAGTTGGGTGTAGTAAGTGATACCCACCAGCTAGACGATGGCTGATATTGTCCTATCCCAATTATGTCTCTCTGCGACGGGTACTACTCTGTGCCGACGTCGCACAAAAGGGCTTTGTGTTGCGTGTAAGTGAGGTCATTTTTGGTTGTTAATTCGAGGCGGTTGGTTGGAGGTTTAACCGACTTGACCAGCCACAACAGCCGCGGAGAAGTAAAAAGCAGATACTGAACCATCGTTGGGGCGAGAGATGGAGTAATAATACATCAGGACCTGGCAAGGATCGAAAAGGACCACTGACCGCTTGCGCCACCACTCGCCGCATGGCCGTGACTGTGAGTCCACTCCTTTGCAGGAGAATTGCCCACAATCCCACTTCCGCATGCCAGGTACAGGACCAGCAGTTGGGGCTGGCGGTGTTATTTCAGAAAGCAATGGAAATAAGCGAGGGCAGGCGAACTGCGGGAAGCGGCTTCGGGGCTGCTCTCTGGGACGATTGGTGAGGCTTTCGATATCACTTACTTCCCGCGGAAATGATAAGCTCCATTCTCTATCGTCCCCAGTGGTAGAAAGTGATATAAGATAACAGAATCTTTGTGCCCCGAAGACGAGTGACATGCCCTTCACTCACTCGTTTTGAAAGATCGACGACGACGAGGGAAAAGAAAAAGATGGAGCACATCGACGGGAACGTTATCAATCGCGATCTCACTGCTCGTATGAAATACATTCAGTCCTTCCTTGGTTGGGACGCAGCGAACGATGGGAAGCTCATTGAAGCGTGCAAACCGGTGCTTGCTCCCATTCTTACCAATGTCGTCGACGCCGTCTACGACCAACTGCTCAAATACGACATCACGGCCGCGTCTTTCGCGCCTAGACAGTCACAAGAGGGAGGAGCCACTGTGGACGCCAGCGTTGGCGACCTTCACGCCGGTCACGAAAATATCAAATACCGAAAGGACTTTTTGAAGGGGTACCTGGTCAGACTGGTCTCGAACCACGACTGGTCCCCCGAGAGCAAGTTTTGGGAGTACATTGACATGGTGGGCAAAGTCCACACGGGCTCGACGGATTCGGGCTTGAAACACCGCAAGAATAGACCTGCACTGTTTGTCGAATACCGCGAGATCAACCTCTTACTGGGCTGGGTCGAAAACGCCGTCACCGACATTGTCATGGGGGTCGAGGGATTGGAGCTGCAGACAAAGGTGGACATTCTGAAAGCCTTGAACAAGTTCTGGTGGATCCAGAACGATCTCTTTGCGAGGCACTATATCCCAGGCCTGAGGGAATCGCGGACACAAGACGCAGAGCGCCCGCTGACCTGGATTGACAAGTTGAAGGCTGATCCAGTATTTCCTATTGTCTCCGCGCTGGTGCTTCTAGCCGTTATTTTCGGCTGGAAGTTTTGAGGAAATGCTATAGAGCGACACTCTGGGCGTTCTACTCGCTTGACAGGTCTCATTGAAAGGTACCTGCGCGAGAGAGAGGAGAGTCTCCCGGAATAAATGGTCGCGAAAAGGATGTATACTGGCGGACTTGTGCAGGACTAGACCAAGGTAACGTGTAGATCACAACTAATGGTAGAATGCGCCTGGGATGACGCTGTTAAGGTGATAGATACCTAAGTGCGCTCAGACTAGACATGGACTCTGGAGAGACTTACCGAAAAACACCAATAATGAATGATATATCCAAAGTTTCATAGACAAGCGCAGCATTCGACGGGTTTAGGGGCCTCGCCGCAGCCAAGCCTCGCCTGCGAACAATTTCGCAGGCGGAGTTCCATCTGTCAATTATTTTGGCGTGTCAACGCTGGAAAGCAGAACAACTACAATTCCATCCTGCACACTCCCTAACCACTCACGAACACCTGCATAACATCCCTTCGACCTTCCAGCTTCATCTCAGGCGACATGATCTGTTCGAGCTGTCGGCGGACGTTTCTCACCCGCATTCGCGCCCTCACCCCCAACACCAATGTTTCTCTCTCTTCTATCGGCGGCTTGCGCTCTGCGTCGACAGTCCCTGTTACTCCGAATGCCGCTCCCGTGCCAGCTCCTGCGGCCATCTCGATAGACGGACCCAATCCCACTCAATCCTCAAACACATCGGGAATCTCCCAGCCTCTTTCCGAACCGCACACTCCCTCGACATCGACGGCGAAAACCTCGGGCCCAATCTCGACCAAAGACTCAAAGGCCCCGGCAAAGCTAAAGAGTTCGATACCGGGAGGCAAGGAGCTACGCGGTCTGGGCTACACAAAAGCAAAGCCGAAAGTAATGGCGATGGAGGACGACGAGTATCCTGAGTGGCTGTGGAAGCTGCTGGATGAGAAAAGATTGGGAACTGATGCGGAAAAGGTCGATCTAGCAGGTACTTGCCATTCCTCCATACACTGTTGACCCTTATAAAATTCCCGCCTCGCTAACACCTGTCCAAAGCAATGACCAAAAAGCAGCGCCTACGCTACGAGAAGAAGCAGGAACGTCTCCTGAAAGACCTACCCAAGGTGATCCCCGTCCACGAACAAAGCAAAGACCTGACAGGTCCTGGCGACGATGCTGTGATAAGTTTACAGCGCCGGCAAGAGGTCACCAGGAGCGCAAGGTCTGCGAGGCGGAGGAGCATCCGGGAAAGCAATTTCTTGAAGTCAATGTAGCTTTACAAGGAGGCTATTGCCCTGTATCATACACAATCACGGCACCGTAAAGAGGTGGCTTCTCGCATTCAAGACATCGAAATATACTCAGCGAATAATTTATTCCATATCAGTTGTGAAAACAAGTCCAAAGTGCCATCGGAACTGCCCTGGTATTTGATATCTATGTATGCTATGCGGTCGGTAACCGGTTTGCACCGTTGCCTGGCGCCTCTCCAACGCCAGGTAATCTGAAACCACGCCTGAAATATTCCCATGCCCTCGTATGCTTCCTGCAACATCATGTGCGTCCAAGTCATGCAAGCAGCTGGTATCGAAGATTGGTTTTCCGCCAGGGTATCATGATCATTCGGTTCGTCCAATTGCCCATTAGCAGATTGTCCATTCCCATCGTGTCTGTCATTGTCATTTCTTGCTCCTCATGATGCATTACCAAACGCCAATCGCAAAAACAAAGCCGTCACTAGGCGCGTATACTGCTGGCGGCTGAACTCCATCTCAGTCTCCTCAGCCCAGTCCCGCTCGACCTCACCGATTCTTGTCCACATCCCCCGCCGGGAAGACCCAACTCGCCCTCGATCCTCCCAACCTCTCGGCCCCAAGCGTATCCTGCACTGAAACTGATGGCCGAGAATACGAGCACCACGCCAGCTGAAATCATCCACGAAGCAAGGGTTGGGCTGATCAGCTCCTCGCCAGTCGCAGTGGCGGTCGCCTTGGCGCTGGTAGCCCGGACTTTCTTCGCACCGTGTCGATCTTTGCTTGATTCGCGCGATTTACGCTTGGTCTGCTTGTTGGGAGAAGAAGCACGTCTCTGTCGTGGCGGATTCACCAATTCTGATTCTGGGACAAGACGCAGAGCAGTCGGTTGCGTCGACGCTCGTTGCTGGGGTGGTCGGACATCAGGACCTTTGGGCCGAACGGCTGCGGCACACGAGAGTAAGGTTGTCAGGGATGCCCGCAATGCCGCGTCATGGTCCGGCTGGTATGATGACGCCGATGCAGGACGATTCCTGGATTGCATTTGACGTTGGTAACTGCGTTGAGTGACTGTGTGGTCGGCACGTGGCTCACATGCTGCTGCCGCGCCAGGCGGGAAATAGGAACCCGGTGCAGTTCGAGGCTGGGACGAGGGGGGGTGTGAGAATGCATTCGGCTGAGGCGTGAATGCTTTGTCTAGGCTGCCAACACCGAGCGCTGTCGAGGTATCGTCATCATCCACTGAGTCGCCTTGACCGATGTCTTCATTGGAGCTGCTCAGCACCCGATCACTTTCGCTCTCACTCTCTTCATATTCATCCTGGCTACTTCCGGCAGTGCTCGAAGACCGTGGTTGAGGATGGGGGACACGAGGGAGGGATTGAAGTTGGCGCGATAGCCGCTCGTCCCGGGACTGCAGCTGGAGCCCCGTAGTGATGATATCATTGTTGATGGATGATAAGGATGCTGTTGAAGCGTGAGAGGAAATTTCCACCCACGAGTCTATGGATGTGTTAGCGAAATTTGGAAGTATATGTCGCTGAGAGCAGGCCTCACCTTCGGAGCGTATGCCTCGGACGCTCGCATTAACCTGGGGTCCTGGATGAGATTCAGATGTCCAGGAAGTGCGAGGTTCTCCTCGCTCGCTCCTTAGGGACGCGAATGGCTCTGCTTGGGATGGCCTCATGTTTGAGAAAGACGGCGTTATCGGCTGTAGGCTAATGAACCCGGGGCTCTTGGCCGAGCCTGGCTGCGAAACTGTTTCCTCGGCTGCGCCGTGTTGAATCTCAACCGTTGCTGATTCAATAGTTTGGAAATTCTTCTGGAGGAAGGATTCAAGGATTCAGGCTCAATCGTGTATAGAGCGAAACACGGAAAGCAGTTGTAGGAGGCCGGGAGGTGCGTGGCAGAATAAATGTTACTCGGTAGAGTCCTTGGCTGGGTCTCACCGCTGACGGATGATGGTGGGGATCTTGTCTTGGTGGTGTAATTCCGCGACTGCGACGATCAGCCACGGCGGTCTGGTAGGAAGGCGGGGTAGTGGCTTTGGGCGACTTTGAAGTTGACACGTCTTGTATCGAAACCAGAGTGATTGTAGTGACAAGAGTGAAAGGGAGAATGAAAGGAGGGAACAAAGGGGAGAGACTGCGGAATGTTGAGTATCGCGAGCAGAGTCTATCCTGCCAAGGGCTAGGTCACTTTCAACCAGGCTTCTTGCTAGGGAAGTATGCAAGTCCTGAAAGGCATTCAAGAAGTCTAACTAAGAGACATGCCACTCAGCAGGTTTCCTGAAAAGGCGGCATCCCAGAAGGGGGTGCTGATCCCTGATTTGACGAACACGTATCAGGTGCAGGGGATGGTTGAGCCACAAGTGCTGATCAAGGGATGGAATCACGCGCTCAGGCCTTGTTGGCTGCGTCTGGCGGTATCTTGGGTGGTGCTGATGGTGTCAGATGAACCCAATCAATGACAGCCATCTGAAGTCACCACCTCCCAAGGCTTGTATTGCCGTATCGTGATGTCTCATGTGCCGACATCGGGGCGCGGCACACCTACTTGTGATCAACAACTTGCGCACCAAGAACAACTGGGGTACGTACAGGAGCTAACAAAAGACAAAAGAGCCGAAAATCTAACTGGAATAGAAAATGTTGAGTGTTTTCAATGTGGATTTCCATTGAACCTTGACAATCTGGTTTAAAAAAAAACCGACTCCCTCTATTAGACCCAGGAACAAGATCGAAGGAAAGAAAAGCAATTTGTAACTTTTGGGGACATTAACCTTTGCATCCTCACGCCGTGATGGTACATGTTTGTCGCATGCATTCCACGCACGTAGGACAATGCTCCAGGGATAATCATGGGTTGAACAGGCAATGAGACTCCAACTCGCAGCACCATATCCAGTGATCCATATGCAACCGAAGCTGAAGACACAGGGAGGGGTATCACAACTCAGAAGGTAGTCTTCTTGCCAGAGAAGTCACCGAAGCCGCCTCGGTTGGTGGTGCCGCCTCTTCCACCGCGAGCACCTCCGCGAGGACCACCACGGCCTCCTCCTCGTCCACCACGTCCACCAAAGTCCCTGCCGCCGCCACGGCCTCCACGAGGACCTCCGCGACCACCACGACCACCGAACCCACCACCAAACCCGCCTCCGCGGGCTGGTGCGTCACCATTCTGTTGACGTGGTTGGGCATAGTCCACACGCATGGGTCGGTTCTTGACGTAGGAGCCCTGCGCACCCTCGAGCGCACTCTTGGCCTCGTCCAATGTCGCAAAGGTCACGTAGCCATATCCTTTGACGTTGCCAGTGTCCTTGTCGGTTGGGATGCGGACACCGGTGGGGTTTCCGTATGGCGCAAAGATGTTGTAGACATCGTCCTCGGTGATCTCGAAAGACAAATTGCCCAGGAACAAAGTGTCGGAGGGTTCGCTCAAAGCGTCTCCATAAGACTGGCGTCGTTTCTCCTGCTTATCGCCTGCGTCGGGCTTCTTGTTGGCAAAGTCGACGTTCATGACACGCCCATCGAGCTCATAGCCTTGCTTTGCAACGTGGGCCTTGGCGGCATCAGCGGCGTTGACAAACTCAACGTATCCGTAGCTAAATCTCATCAGTCACGACGCAATGAATTCGAGATCGTGGTATCGACTTACCCCTTAGATCTACCATCCTCGCGTTGAGTGATCAGCCGAACACCGCCGAGCTCACCAAATTGTTCGAACTCCGACTTCAACCATTCCTCGTCGACGTTCCAGGAGAGGTTGCCGACAAAGAGGATGGATCCCCTTGAACCATCCTCCTCGACCTTTGTCTTCTTTGCGGCAGGCTCTTCGACATCTTCGGCCTTACGTTTGGCAGGTTTAGCTTCCGCCTCTTCATCACTTTCCTCAGAGTCATCGCTGCTCTGATCTCCCTCGCTGCTGTCGTCAGAGTCGTCATCTTCGTCGCTGCTCTCGGCAGCTTTGACACCATTGGCCTTGGCTGTCTTTGCTGCTTTGGGGGGAGCAGCTTCTTCGTCGCTGTCCGACTCGTCTGAGCTCTCCTCAGACTCGTCGTCATCTTCCTCCACAGCAGTCTTGCCAATCTTGGCACCTTTGGCGGCGGGCTTCTCTTCCTCAGACTCCTCTTCGCTGCTATCGTCGTCTTCCTCCTCGCTTTCGGAAGCTTTGGCAGCAGGCTTGGTCTTGGAAACAGCACCGTTCGATTTGGGAGCTTCGTCCTCGGACGACGATGCTTCAGAGTCGGACTCTTCGCTTGAATCGTCCTCGGAATCGTCCTCATCAACCTTCACTCCACTGGCGCCGTTGGTCTTGACATCCTCCTCAGTCTCAGAATCTTCCTCTGAGCTGGCCGAGTCCTCGCTCTCCTCTTCCTCTGAGCTCGACTCCGGCTCGGGAGTGGGCTCCTTGACAGGAACCTTCTTGTTCTTCTTATCTTTCTTCTGTTCCTTTGCGGCAACCTCCTTCGCGATCTCCTTGCTCTTTGCCTTCACACTTTGCGATGGCTTCGACACTGCTGCCCCCTTGACCTTCGACAGGACACCGGGCTTAGACCCTGTGCTAGGCACGGACTTGGACTTGACTTTGGACATATTGAATGCAAACTGAAAGAATGGCATGGTTAGCATGAAGCAGTAAAGAAAAGGATGGAGGGGATGTTACGAACTGAGAACCCTCGAGTTTGAAAAATTCACTCCCACGGAAGTCACTGAAAGAAAATTCCAGCGAGTGCGGCAAAACCCTCAATCCACGAAAATAGAATCAAAAGCCCTCGACCTCACTTAGTCACTTGCTTTCGCAAAAGACTGGCAGAAATGTGAATTTCTGCTGGAAGCGCAACACCACAGACGGACCTGGAACAGAACTCGTCGGCAGGATGAGACAAGCGGAGACCTGCGATGAGTTTTCGGGATACCCCCAGTAGCAACAGACCCACAGAGCCCTCGATAGACCTCAAGTACAGAGTAATGATGCCCTCGAAAATATGCCCACAGTTGTGAATGCTGGATGATGGGTGCAGCAGGAAAAGGTAGCAGAGGAGAAAGATGGCAAAGGAACCAAAATATGGACCTTCACTTTTTCTTTTGAAGCCGAAATTTTTCTCCAGGCGGCGAGGCGGTAAAAAAGCTTATCTTATCAAATGGATGGCTGGGTCTGGGCATTCAATCCTCTTCGGGAACCAATCAAAACGTGTCTACAACTGGCCACGGTGCCACTCTGCAAATCTCCAACTTCAGAGCCTGACAGGACCAGCTTTTGCTACTAAACTCTTGCTTCTGACCGCTGTCGAGCTGCTCGTCTGCTCCCAACTCAACATGTCGAGCCCATCGAACAACCACAGACCCAGGAAAAAGCGAAAACAAGCTCCTAGTCTTATTCGAAGCAACACCATCTCCGACATTGTCAAGATCGACCCTGATGACAGCAGCGCCATCACCCCCGAGTTTCCCCTGGTAGCTTTTCTCTGGCCAGCCCGGGGCACCACATCTCAATGGATTCTGCTGCCGCTGATTCTGATGATTGCCGGTCTCTTCAGATGGAGTGTTGGGCTTTGGGGCCACTCTGGATATCAGGCACCGCCGATGCATGGAGACTTTGAGGCTCAGAGGCATTGGATGGAGATTACAACCCATTTGCCAGTATCCAAGTGGTACTTCTACGATCTTCCGTACTGGGGTCTCGACTATCCTCCTTTGACGGCGTACCACAGCTGGCTATGTGGCAAAATGTACGTATTTTCGACTTGGAAAGAAATTCGAGAGCTGACGAAACATAAGCGGTTCTTTGTTCAACCCAGCCTGGTTTGAGCTCGACAAGTCTCGCGGCATGGAAGAGGCCGATCTCAAGGTGTTTATGCGCGCTACCGTTATTCTCTCAGAGTACCTCATCTATGTCCCGGCGTTGATTATATTCCTTCGCCACTTCAGCAGAGCCCACACCACGGGGACTACCTCAGCATCGATCGCACTCGTGGCAATCCTTATGCAACCAGCGAACCTGCTCATCGATCACGGTCACTTCCAGTACAACACAGTTATGCTCGGCTTCGTTGTCGCAACTCTCTCGAGCGTCTATGCTGGTCGACTCTTGTGGTCTTGCATTTTCTTCGTCGCTGCCCTTGGGTTCAAGCAGATGGCCCTATACTATTCGCCTGTCATCTTTGCTTACCTGCTAGGCTCTTGCCTAACTCCGAAAATTCGCCCTGGTAGACTCATTTCGATCGCTCTCGTCACAGCTCTTGCGTTCGCCGTGTTGCTGTCTCCATTGCTCCTCGGATCACTCTACGACATATACCAGAAAGTTTCCTTCTCTGAGATGGGCTCACCGCCGTTTCTTGCCGAGATGAGCATAGCTCTTGACCCTAATGCTCCTCTCGACATGGTCGTGCTGCAACTCAGCCAGGCCATCCACCGAATTTTTCCATTTGCCCGTGGCTTATTTGAGGACAAGGTGGCAAACTTCTGGTGCTTTACAAATACTTTCTACAAACTTCGCAAGTTGCAGGGAATAGTCGACCTCCCTCGTGTTTCAGCGATCGCAACTCTTGGATCTATCCTGGGACCGATGCTGATCATCGGCGCGGTACCTCAGAAGGCGCTGCTCCCATACGCACTAGCCACGTCGGCATGGGGATTTTTTCTCTTCTCCTTTCAAGTTCACGAAAAGTCGGTTCTGCTTCCATTGCTCCCAATGACCTTGCTACTCGGCTGCAAACAAGGTCTCAGCAAAGAGTATCGAGCCTGGATTGGGTGGGCAAATGCACTCGGCGTCTGGACCATGTTTCCACTGTTGAAGAGAGACGGGCTCACAATTCCCTATGCTGTGGTATCTCTTCTGTGGTGCTACCTGCTTGGGCTTCCACCGACCAGTGTGGGAGCGTATTACGACCCTGAGCACGAAAACATTACCGGTCGACCACAGGCTCCCGATGATTTGGCGACACCGACCAAAATTCTACATTTCCAGACCTACATTGTCATGGCATTTTGGCATCTGCTGGAAGCATTCGCAACTCCACCCGAAGATAAGCCTGATCTCTGGGTGGTGGCGAACGCATGCATTGGCGCTACTTGTTTTGGGATTTGTTATCTGTGGTGTTTTTGGAAATTGATATTGGAGAGCGGCTTGCTTGATGGATACTTTGAGGACCGATCCGATATCGATGAGACCCGACAGTCTCTGAGAGAACAGTTGGCTGTGAAGGAGAAAAAGAATAGATAGTCTGTCTATGTAGGAGTGCTCCCTCATACCGTTTCGATGCTCCACCCAAAGAACGGTGTCGACTTGATAGACGGGCATCCATCGGATGCCTAATTGTACATTTACCCATCCCCGGAAGCCTGGGGAAACCTCATAAAGAAGTCTTAACTCGTATATTCATCAATAGTGCTGTGCTCATTCATGCGTAGTTGACCACCCCCCTGACCGCCCAAATCTCGCCGTTGCCCACCTTTCCCACAACACCGTCGACAATCAAATTTCCCGGGTTGATCACTCTGTCGCCGTCTTCATTTTCCTCCCACCACAGTTCCTGCCCACCCAGTGTCTTTATTGTATTCGACCTCCCCTGCTTCCAAGGACTCACGGGTACCACATGCTCCTCGACAAATCTTTGTAAATTTCGGGCGGCTTTGTCCTCGTCCCTCTCAGCATTCACACCCGAATCGTCACCCGGTCTATCTTCCCAAGGTTTGCGGGGCAGGGCTTGCATCGCACTGTTCAAAGGAGCCAGGAGTGTCGTGTTGTCTTCTGGCTTGGTGGATTCTAGGCGTGAGGTGACGGCAGAGATGTCTCGTGTCAGTGATGCAAAGATATTGATCTTGCGGGTCTGCGGCAGTATATCGGATATCGACAGAGTATTGTCGCCAATGTGACCGCCAGGTTGTCCAGGTTCATCCCCCGCTTGAACGGGGCCGGGGTTCATTGTGTTCTGGTCTGGGTTGAGATAGACCACAGAGGAATCCTGGATCGATGAGGGATTACCGCGAAAGATGTCCAGTGGCGAGAGGGCAGCGGCGAAGGACAATGTGGAGAAGAGAGAGCACAGAAGAATTTTGCGATGCATGTCGGCGACAGATGGAATGTAAATTTGTCGGGTGGGATGTTCGTGGCACAGAATAGTGTGAATTCAAGGAATGCGATGATGGCTGTGACGTTGTCGCCGCAGGGAAAGCGGGTGTTGGCGGGCAGCTTTCGGGTTCATTCCTGCGCCAGCATCCCGTGACATTCACCCCCATTGATGATTTCCCGCCAAACATCAGCCATAGACCTACCAAGTCACCAAGGATATGCCTACAAATCCTTCATCTACCCTGCTTGGCTTGTTCCGGGCTCCAGATACGAATGATACACAAGGCAACCCTTCGGACCTATTCGAATCTGAATGCCAGGGAACGTTCTTTGCCTATCGCCATCATACAACTGATGAGCCCCTTGCCGTCAGCATTACACTGGCCTTCCTAAGAGCCTGTGCATAACATTTCGGCGGTTGGAAGTGCGAGGATGCTCTCCTCAATCGTTGACCATCCGCCGACAGGGCTCGACAAACTGTGGGAAAGCCTAAGGGCACCTCGGAGTCCAAACTCCTTACTCCACACCTCTCAGCCGCCCTCCTCCAGGTTCTGGCATATGAAGTCCATTTAATGGTTGACATTGGAAGTCCCAATGCCCGCTGAGTGACCCAACTCTCCCAGCTCTTCGGCAGCCACGCGTTTCAGGCACATCAAGAGATCCAATCGCTCTGTTTGAAAACGGCAAACAGGAAAGCAATACCCATATCCTAATATGTCGGCTCCCTATCTGTTTCGTGTTCTCTCTGAACCCTCCGGATTGGACCGTCAGAGTTGGGAGAAATGGTATTGTTCCGAAAATATACCCAGCCTAGTCAAAGCAAAGGCTGTTACACGGGCAGCATTGTACGAGGCGTTCGATGACTATCCGCTTGCCACCAAGACGCCGATTCAAGTGGGCCAGACCACTTTACACGATGTTAAAGTTACGCACACCGATATTGAGCCTCCGACCGAGAAGACTTTCCTCGCAATGTGTCAGGTCGAGGATCCGGCGTCAGCAAGAGAAGAACACTCGAAGAGGATTGCTCAGACTAGTGAAGTCCTTGCAGGAAAACCTCCAAAATCTTGTGCCACATGGGATTCACGAATCTACAAGCTAATCCAGGACTTCGACCCGAAAGGCCTTGGACACAGTAAGTGTTATCCTTGTAATCTTGTCTCGTGCACCCCCGGGAAATTCCACGCTCGCTGACTTTCGTTTCACCCTTGTTGGTGGATGCTCAGCGCCCGCGCCTTACATTCTCAACGTTCAAATGGAGCCAGCTGATGATGACGATTACAATACGTTTTACCGGGATGAACACTTGTATATGCTCTCAAGAGTCCCCGGCTATCGTCGCTCGCAGCGCTACCAGTTGGTGTCTTCGGACGATGTCAACCTCTCGGCGGTACCTAGATTCATGGCAGTCCATGAATTTGAGTCTCTGGATGCGTTGGATGGCCCAGAACTCAGAGAAGCGGATGCCAGCCCAAACACACACCGGGTCATTGGTAATGCTAAAGGGGTGAGTGTTAGGGGA